TGGAAATTTTATTAGCATTAGAAGAAAACATTAAGTGAAAAATGAGAATATCACTATCAAAAAAGTAATTTTCTCATTTCTGCAATACAAGATTCAAATTTTTCTGTTTAGGAATATAAATTCTATGTTCAATTTTACTTTATTTCTTCCCCAAAATGGTACAATTATAGAAATACTACAAAAGTTCTTTTATTATCTAATTTAAAAGCCTTATAATCTACAATTATTTAAATGTGGTCAATTCAATTATTGATAACACAAGATGACACTATATGATAGATTCCTTTAAAGCTATTAAGGATATCACTATTACTGATTAAAGGGATAATCACAATCACATATTTTAAAAAATGATGTCCCTAGGGTCATATATATAATGTAAAATGTCAAGCTCTATACAGAAAATTAACAGAGCCTGGTAATAACTACCTTTATAAATAACAATTATTGACATCATAATTCCAAGGTTTACATCATTTAGACAAATAACAGATTCAGATACAGAACTGCCAAATCCTTAATTTTAACAGGTAGCAAATTACAGCCTGAAATCCTTAGGTGAGAAAGTCCCTAACTCTTGCTTTAGTCTTTAAGCTCTAATAAAATGTGGTACATTTGCCAAAAACTTTAAGAGTAAACCAATTTTATTTTATTTGAAAAGACAATTTATTTTCTGGATCTTTACTTACACAATGTTATACAAAGCAGTTCGGTAAGCTTTAAAATACTAATGCATAAGGTACTTCCTTCTGAAAAGAGAATATGGCTTTTGAAGAGATACTCCAGATATGAGTTTAGTATGATAAAAGTGAAAGAAAATGCCTCCAAATTGCTGCAGTTTATTTTTCTAGAGACATTTACAGAAGTGAAGTTTAGCAATGCATAATAAATAGTTAAGCTGGATTCTAAATTAACTTAAATTGGCCTGCACCATAAATGTGTTTGAGATATTTCTGGTAAAAAAAAAAAAAGAAAACAAACTTCTTTTCACATAAACCTACAAACTTCTTTTCACATAAACCTCTTACATGGCAGAATTCAATTCCACAAGGTCTTATGCACTTATGATTAGGGCAAGGATAATACGGCCACTTGTCTAGTTTGAAAGACAACAATCTTGGGGGGAACTTCTGGCTGCTGAACTTGTCCTCCAGTTATGCAATGTGCGATGTCTCCAAACCTCAACAGCAGCAGTATTTTCTGTGGGATGTGTACTAGAGTTGTATGTCCAAGAGGCAGGCCAGAGCGTTCATTTATCTCCCAGGACTACAGATATCCATACCTTCCACAAAGACCAAAGTGTAACCACTATAAATGTTTTACTGGCCAATGCTTGCAAACATGAAAATACATAACTAGCCAATATGCACTTTGGTTAAAAGGACCAATTTCCCAATCTCTTTTCTAAAGATCAACACAGCTCAGGAAATGTCCAGTCATGCATTTTATATTCTTTCCACCCCTCAAACACACAAAAAGTAAAAACCACTAACGAAAACCTGTAATGAAACCCTTTAGTCCCGACTGTGCAAATAGAACGTGTGAAAGTATTAGGCTTCAAGCAGCCCTGTGATGGCTGTCTTGCCCTTTACTTCATGCTCTCATGCTCCCCCATTTTCTCTTCCACAACACTTCTCTCTCATTGACAACATCTACAAGGCAGGGCAGAGAAGCAAGGGACAGTACTATGTATCAGCAAGAGGGCTGGTGAGGTGCTTAGTGAAGCAAACTCTGGGGGACTCATATGGAGAGGTGCTTCACACCAGACACTGCAATAGAAGAGTTGTCGACAACTGTCTGTCCTAGAGTAAGACAACCAAAAAAGAAAAGGTGCATTATTTCACAATACCTCCATTCGTCTCCTTTTTCTTTGGCCCACTGTTATCAGTATGAGGGGAAGAATGTAACATGTTAAACATTAAAAGGAAAAAGGGAACAGTCTGGTTAGGGTGTGGAAGTAGTTGTTGTTTTTCACAGTTTAAACAACTCTTGCCAAAATATAATTACATAATCCTAGCATCTCCATAGACTTTTAAAACTGGAAGAGTCCTTACAGACCATCTGGTTCTACCCTTTCATCTTACAGATAACTAAAATTTAAGTCCAAGACCAAGCAGTTACATAATGAAAAACCTGAGACTTGGGATTCAGCACTTTGTTTGATATTTGCACACATACAGTAATTTTCCAAGGTTCCAAACAAAGAAAAAAAAAGATAACCTATAACATAAAATTCGTCTATCATTTAAAACTCATCTTTGTTAAACAAAATGATTCTTTGTTATTTCTATTTCTTTTAAGAGCTTTGTGCCTATCAGCACAGGCATGAGCAAAAAAGTAAAAATAATTAAAAGGAAAATGCAGAGGGAAAAATGCAAGCTAGTTGAGACAATATAATCAATACAAATAGCTGCTGGGATTAGTAGTTACTGCTGCAAACCATACTGAAGCAAAGAAATTGCTTCTGAAGGGTTCTCCCCGCAGCAGAGAGAAAAACCACAAAAGACCTGAGCACTGTAAAAGTACCAGAATGCATGTTATATAAGACAGCTGACTACAGTGATTAGATTTCTTGCAGCATAAGAAAGCAGAATGTGCATTTTAAAACCAGAACTCCAGATGACACCAGAGCAGGTGGTCCTAAAGAACACATTTTGACTTCTGAGTATCGTGGTCTATGACAGCTAGAAGTAATAAAAATTCTAGTTCAGAGAGCTCTGGGCCACCTCTAGCCTAGCCAGATCCTTTCAATCAACCAAGCAAAAGGAAATGCCCCCTAAGGAAAAAAAAAACATTAAGGATGATTCTGTTCCCAGCCCAGGCAGTCAGACAAGGTGGTTACCACACAGTCACCCCCAACGAGCCAAAGAACATTATATAATCACTGCCCAACCTCCAAGAGGAAGAGATCAGAAGTTCTCTCTCAAATGTCTATCATTAACTAAGGTTTTCTTTTGCAGTTAAGTGACTGATAAAGACTCTGTTTATAATGTTGAAAAATACTTTGTCACCCACTGAGGAAGTCTTTCAGTTTATAGTTGTTGGGAGAATTATTTTTCTTTCTACCAATTCATTTGTGAGTGCTGTGTGGTTTACAAAGGAAGACTGGCCTTCACTGAGTCTGAGTATTTGTCTTTGGATATTGGAATCTGAGAAAATATGAAATGGCACAAAATTTAAATTATGGTGAACTTGTGAGAAACTGTAAGAATCTGAAAACGGGATCATTATATCATAAATGACGCAATTTGTCAAAAAGTCAGTGTTAAAGCTGCTCAACATATTTAATTCTGATGTGTTCAGAGTTTCAAATCTTCACCTAGAACAGCTTTTCTGTAAAAGCTGTATGAAATGACATCATCTGATGGTTTCTCCTTTCTTTGAAATTATATTTGTTTACAAGAATTAAAGTTACATATATACAAACATATATATATATATAATAGCATTAAGTATGTATTTGAGGTTGTTGTGACTGGGTACTTACTTGTCTATCACCTATTCTATGCACAATGTAGATAAAGAGCTAAGATAATTTGCTACAGCAGTTTTCCTCTGTGCATTCCAAACATGTTCAAGAACAAGACTTTGCAATGGGTTCAGGAAAAACAATACTAATACCAAAACCAAAACCTTGAATCCTTTTAGGGAACCAGTTCACTGTTCCTATTTCAAGGCAAGGCAGGCAAAAACAACCAACTCTTGACATTCAACTAGAACATTTGCAGAAAACAAGTACAAACATGTCCACGTTAAAAATGCTGTAGTATATCAGTAGCCTATTTTTCAGTGGTAATTTCCGATAAAAACTGTACTCAATTTGGCACAGGGACGATTTTTCAAACGTTAGAACCACTATTACTCTATTGATAATAGGACTTGAAAAGTGCCAACAAAATGAGCTATGCAACCTAAATTGTATGGTTAACTTCTACAGGATTAAATTTTACAGCTTAAAAAGGGCAGAGTAGGAAGAGGCAGCTTCTCAATTAATTTATAACTGTCCAAGCAACTAGAAGTTAACGCCAACAACAGCTCTGTTCTAGACTTTTACTGAGGGATAAAGAGGATTTTGTATTAATTTTTGAGGGACGGGGGCAGATCATTTGCGTTCGGTTTTAAAGGGTGTGATAATTACTTATCTTTACCTGGAGTATTTGTTTGTAAAATCACTAGCCCTACACTGAGCTGTCCGCCGTCTCCCTGTCCCTTTTCCAGACCTCCCGTGAAGTTCATCTGCCAATACCAAGGGGCCGTGGAAAAGGGAAGTAAGGAATAAAACTGCTCTTAAAATTGAGACGAGGGCAACTGCTGGACTTCGTCCAAGCGCTGTTCAGCCCAGAAGCGAAAGTAGGCAACAACAGAGGTTCGCTCGGGCTTGGGATGATGTCAGCCATTTTAGACGCATTATTTATGCGGGAAGGGAATGCCAAAGTCAGTGCTGGTGTGGTGCAGTCCCGCTCGGAACCCGACTCGCACTCGGGGCTCGCGGCCCGCTCGGGCGGACACTTCGCAGCTGCAAACGCAGCTCCTCACAAAGACAAGCGCGGCCGGCGCGGGGCGCTGGGACTCGCGGGGCCTCTCGGCCACTGCCGGCCGCCGGCCCGGCCCGGCCCGGCCCCGCCCCTCCCCCACCGCGGGCTCGGACCTTGCAGTCCACGGCGACGGCGTCTGGGGGGATGATGAGCGCCTCCTCGCCGCTCTTGGGCTCGTCCTTCTTGGCCTCCTTCTGAGCCAGAGCCGAGTTGAACGTCACCTTCACCATGGTGCGGCCTGGGGCGCCCCGACGCGGGCTGGAGGCGCGTACTGTGGGTTCTCGGCTGCAACTGCACCCTCCTCGACTCTGCTGGGGCTGCGACTCCGCGGCGACTGACGACGGTCGAGCGGCTGCGCAGCGGTTGAAGCGGCTACTGCAGCTGGGCTTTCGCCTTCTCCCGACTCCGGTGCGGGGAGGGCGAGGCGGGGCTGGAGGGCGGGGGCGTGGCCGGGGCGGGACCTACGTGCCGTGGGCGGGGCCAACGGATGGGCGTGGCTGGCACTGCGCCAGACTTAGGAAGCCTGGCCCCGCCTGCCGGGAGTGGAGCCTGCGGCGAGCGGCTGAGGGGTGAAGCTGGGTGAGTGCGGGCGGGGAGCCTGGCTCCGCCTCCCCCTGGCTCGCCTTTCCCGGCCGCCTTGAATTTCCCGTTTTCAGTTCGTTCCCGACTTGTTTACGTTCAGGCCCACTGTTGCAGGTTGGTAGCGAAGGCGGGTGAACATTGTTGCTTCGCTGCCTACGGTGGGTTCTTGTCTGGCAGTGCCAGGGCCGCCTCTTTCTGGCCCGCCGCCCCGCTCCGCGAGCCTAAAGGCCATGAAATTTTTTGTGTGAGAAAAATCTCCATTTTCTCTTTTAACTGGCGAGCGACTCGGTAGAGCACAGAAATGTTTAAAGCTCTATTGTGATGACTTACCTTCCCGGGACCTCACCCGAGGGCGTTGCCTGACTCAGGCTTCTCTACCCTTGAGGAGGTCAGCTCCTGCCCTACCTACTCGCAGACCAATTCGGAGAAACTCTTAGCAGACTTGTATTGCAAACATCCCGTCCTGGCAAAACCAAATTCCCCATGCAGATTTGAAAAAAAAAAAAAACGTATATCCCTGAGGGTGATTGTTATTCAGGTTCTCAATGTCTTTATCTTTCTGCAAAATGAAAAGTTACTCATTTAAAAATAAAGCAGAGTCCTCATATTTTGAAAAAGTTTCGCTTACAAGTGATGGGGTAGGATTACTGGTACATACTCTTGTGAGACTTAGGACTGTCGCAGATGGTACTTGAGCAAATGATTGACCCTTATCCTACCCAACTCTATTCTAGTTTACCCAGAATTGTGGCTGTGTTGTGCAAGTTTTCAGCTATCAGTATTTCTTGAAGAAAGCAGGTTGAGTCTAAGGTTCTTGGGGTTTGGCTCTACCTAGGAAGGGGTTAGGTATCTTTAGAATGTCAAATAACAAACTTGAGACATAGACCAAGCTGTGTGTATTTCAGGAACTTCTTGGGCTGAGAAAAACCGCCCAGGCACCTTCTTCAGTCTTTTGGGCTATTCTAAAATTCTATTTAAAGAGAATTGTTCAGTTGAGAGTGAAAAGAGTTGGGTTGCAGTTCTGGTGAACAGTAGCTAGCCATGTAGCTTCCCGCATCTTGGGCTCACCTTACTGTTCAGAACCCCACATCAACTCTCTGGGGTTCACTGTGGGCTGACATTGCCTAGTAAAAATGGAATTAATTCCTCAGAGTTAACTACTGACCCCAGCTCCCTAGTTTCATACAATCTTGATATTATAGATAACTAAGTTAATTAGGAATATTGTAGGCAGGCAGACAGGGCTGAGCCCTCAAAAGGTCAGTGCGGAAGACAACTGTGGCTGGAGGTGCACTTACTGAAGGCCACCTCTCGCCATATGCTTCCCGGCGCTTGAGCTGCACTGGTTGATATTCTAAATAGACATTAGTCACCTTGGAGTGCAGGACCTCCTTAACCCGCCCCCCCATCATAGTGCTTGTCTCTCCCAGGTGTCTTGCTAGGGATTCCCTTCCCAATTTGATCCCTGTTTAATACTGGTTGTAATCTTACTGGTTGACTATAGTTTTGCCCCAGCTCTCATCCATCCTGTGATTTTCCATTGGATCAGTGTTGCCTAAGGGGCTATGACTTACAATCTTATTGATTGAATATAGTTCTGTCCCACCTTAAACCACCTCATCACATGGCTTTGCTCAATAAAACATCCTTGAGAGGCTGGAGTCAGTGGGCTACCCACCTTCCAGTCCCCACCTATCCCTCTTAGACAGAAACTTTCTTGCAATAAATTCTTCCTACTTTTTACCTCCATTGTTCCTAGAATTCATTCCTCAGTTTTAGAGAGCACAAACAGCGTTTTGGGCATATAACAGGTTAGGAATTACATTTCCCTCATATAATTTGGAAGTCCTGTATCCTACATCCTGTATCACTGAGACATAATTGAAGATCAGGAAATTCTGCAAGCCAGATCTACAGGCTTATAATGATTGTGCACATATAAATCCTTCAAAAGACAAAATTATAAGTTAGTTTAAAGTTCTTAGTTTCACTTTTATTAGAATTAGTTTTAATTTTATATATTTTATAAATGCTACAATAAGCACAGCAGACAAGATAGGTTTTACAGATTAAAAAAAAAGGAATAAGAAGAAAATGCAAGGCTGAAGAAAGCAGAAACAAGAAAAAAAATGGATTGTCGTATGAGTTGTTTTCCTTGTAAAGCTGGGACAAAGAGAAAAATAACGGATCGATCGACATTGTGTTACTTCAGGTTACCTTTCTGAACAAAGATTAAGGTAGAGGGAATTGTAGTATCATGCCATTTGGCACAGACCTGTTTGGGAAGTTTGACGGTTATCTCTGTACCTTGATTTCTCAAGACAAATATGTAGCTTTATTACAGCTTAAGGATGTGGAACTTTAGCATAAGTAACTCTATTTTTATTTTTAGTCTGCTCTGTTGGCCCTTGTGTAGAGGTTTGTACAAAACAAGGACCTCCTCTATAACTTTCACTTTCTAATTCTTTCTCTGTTTTGATGGAATGTTAGAAAAATAAAGCATTTGCAGTAGATAGGAAAAAAAACAAAAAAGAAAAGGCAAATTCTTACTGGATACCACTAAACTGATTAGGAAACTAAGACAAAGGAAGAACAAATGATGTTTACAGAACCAGAAATCCTTCTGTGCTACAGAACTTCTATTTTAAAAGACTTGTGAATAAAAGACCTTTCATTATTTTGTGTACCAGCAGTAAGCAACAGTGTAAACTCAGTTGGCAAACAGTCTGGGAATAATCTCCTGGTTTTGTTTCTCCATTTTATCTGGTTTGTCTGCAGAACTGTGCAGTCACAACAGCAAGGATCATAAAGAAGCTGGACCAAGACCAAGCATAGCAAAGCCAGCCTCGGGATTTATAGAAGCTTGCCCGTTGACCCTAGAAACTAAGGAGTCAGGAGCAGAAGAGAATCCATGACTCAACCAAAGTTTCAAAACATAAGCATAAGTTGCCCTTAACTACTAATTGTGAAGGCAGTCTTAGAAGAACTTTGCTTTCCTTTATCATGTTGATTTTTAGAGTAAGAATCTCCTTTTAAAGTGACACCAGCTTTACATTTCACCAGGATCCAAGTTTATTTTTCTTTTAACTGGGAAAGAGGACAAAATGGAATTGGACACTGAATGCTAGAATCATAGTTCATTTAGATTTCTGTAATGTACTTACTCATTGAGGGATTTTTTTTTCCTTCACATTTCTATTCTCCCTGTTTTTTTCTCAAAGAAGAGTTACTTCTTCAGAGAAACTTACTGAGATTTAGCGAAATGATTGGAAAACGTTTCTGCAAATATAGGGTCCTGAATATGCCTTTTGAAAAGTGCTCTTGGCACAGTCCCTAGACAGCTCAATGTGTGGCTTCAGCTAGGCATCTTGTGGCTTTGTCTCAGCTTTTATAAGGGAAATGTTTCTTCTGTGAAGGAAGGGAAGGCTGACTTGCCCCTTTAGAGACTTCAGCATTGCCTTTTTTTTTTTTTCTTTTCTTCATAACTTAGGTATTCTTTCCTGCTTCTAAATTTCTTACCTCCAGAGTTAATATTTATTATTCACTGACTACTTTCATATCATGTATACTTTTTAATTATTTTATCAGTTGTTTCTAATTTAATTTTAAAATTATTATTTTCTTTGATGAACTGGCTACATGACTTTTCCCCTCCTTAGAACTTGACCTATAATGTCTCAAGCCGTTTTCGAATTGTCCTAATAATGAATGCAGATCACTTTTGATTCAATTAATTACAGCACTGGGAATTTTTGTTTTGTTCTGCTTGATTGTGAAAAGACAGGATCTGATCTCTAATGGGCTCTTTAGTTTTCCAATTGTCATCTCTTAGTTTCTTCCTCCAAAACAGGTCTTCCTAAGTATATTCATGCTTTTTAGAAAAGAGGAGAAAACAGAGCGAAGAGATGACAAACACAAACCAAAAAGGAGAGTGAAATCAAAAGAATGAGAAGGTGAGCCATATACTAAGAAAAGATATTTGCCAAAGACATATCTGATACAGAAATTATACTCAAAATATATGGAAAGAACTGGGTTGTTTTGTTTTGTTTGTGATGTAAGTTGGACCCAGGGCCATGTACTACTGAGTTACTTCATCGGCCTTTTTATTTTGTTATTTTGAGATTGGTCTTGCTAAATTTAAATTCCCTGTGTCCGACTTGAAATCTCAGTCCGATCTCAGCCTCCCTTGGTGCTGGGATCAGAGGCACATGTGCCCACTAGGTTTAAAAAGGACTTTCAGCACTCAACAATAGAAAAATGAACCACCCAATTAAAAACTGGGCAATCTGAACAGAAACCTTACCAAAGAAGATATTCAGTTCAGATGGCAAATAAGCATATGAAAAGATGTTTCCAGCAAATATCATTAGAGAGTTGCATATTAAGCAGCAATGAGCTATTCCTGCACACCTATTCAAGGGCCAAAATTCAAAACACTGACAATACTAAATGCTGACTAGGATGCAGAAAAACAGGAATGCTCATTCATTGCTGATGGAAATGCAAAATGATTGGCACTTAGAAGACATTTTGGCAATTTCTTATAAAACTAAACATTGTCTTATCATACAATCTAACGATCATGCTCCTTGATATTTATGCCAAAGATCTGAAAAATTAAGTCCACAAAAAATCCCCTGTGTGTACATCTTTATAGCTGCTTTGTTCATAATTGCTAAAATTTGGAAGCAGTCAAGATTTCCTATAGGAGTTGAAAATGGATATGAACAGTGTTATATCTAGGAATGGACTGTTATTCAGCACCAAAAAGAAAAGATTCATCAAGATATGGAAACATAAATGTATATCATTAAGAGAAAAAAGACAATTTGAATAAAGCTACATACTGTATGAATCCAAATGTATGACATTCTGGAAAAGGTGGAACTATGGAGATATTAAAAAAAACAGTGACATCCAGAGTTTGGGAACTGGGAAGGATGAATATGTGGTGCACATAGGATTTTTAGGACAATGAAACTGTTCTCTATGATGCCACAGTGGTAGATACATATTATTACACATTTAAAATCCATGCAACATCCAATACTAAGAATGAATCCTAAAAGAAACTTTAGACTTTGGGTGACAGTGATATGTCAATGTAGGCTCATGGATTGTAACAAGTGTACCAGTCTGGGGTAGGGTGCTGATAGTGGGGGAGGTTGTTTACATACGGGAACAAGGTACATGGAAACACGCTGTGCTTTTTTGCTCAGTTTTACTGTAAAACTAAAACCATTCTAGATAGTTTGTTAGAAGAGAAAAAAATGGCATAAAGATGGTCCAATGGATAGAACTCACTCAGAAGACTCATAGTTTGTGTTTTTATTCAGTAGCCTTTGTATGCATGAGTTTGGTTTGAGGATCCATGAATAACAAAATCCTTATATGTTCAAGTTGTGTGTGTAAGCTGCTGTAGTATTTGCATATAACTTATTTATATCCTCCTGTATACATTTAATCATCTTTGGGATACTTATAAAACCTAATGTAATAAAAATGTTATATAAGTAGTTGTACTATATTGCTTATGAAATAATGACTAGAAGAAAAAAATTTGTTCATTATCATTAATGATTCAGTTTTTTCTCAAATATTTTCAAACTCTCGTTGATTAAATTGCAGAATCTGCAAACAAACCAGCTATTCACAGTACGAAATTGGAGTCTAGAATGAATTTCAGTTGCCTGGTAAAGTTTCATGCAAAAGACAAGTGTTTTAGTGGGAGAGATGGAATGGTTTTGGATATAGACAAAGGAAGAAGAGAAACAGCCTGATTAGAGGAAAGAACATGAAAAAGAGAACTAAGACCAACAGAGAGGACTGAGTCCAGAGGAAAGGATTCTCAGGCAGGTGGAAGGCATCTAATGAGTAATTACGGGAAACACAGCTGAGGGGGGCTGGAGTCAAAAGTGTGTATGTCATGTGTGTTAGCTTTCCAGTACTATTAACAAATACCTGAAATAATCAGTTTATAAAGAGGAAAGGTTTGGTTTACAGTTTTTTTTAGCCCATGGTTAGATGGCTTTTATGCTTTGGGCCCCCCTGTGACAAGGCAGCACATCATGATTGGAACACATGCTTATCTCATGGTGTCCAGGAAGAAAAGAAGCGGGAGAGGCTAGGGCCCCAAACTTCCTTTGAGGGCATATCCCTAGTAACCTAAAAACCTCCCACTAGGCCATACCTCTTAAAGATGCCAAGCCTTTCAACATATGAGCTTTTTGAGGGGCATTTAAAATCCAAACTGTAGCTTAGTGTTTGAATAATACTAAGGGTTCTTGTCAAGGGGGCTATAAAAAGTTTCTGAAAAAACTGTTTTAAAATAAAAACTACTGCATAAAGATTGATCTGGCACTCTGGGTGGGGAAAAAAGGAAGTGCCAGAGACAGAAAGAGAAGTTCAAACATCTTCCCTCTTTTTTAAATGAAGAAAAAGGAAATAAGTTCTAAACATTTTATTTGTTAGAAGAAGGAATACTATATAAAGCCAATATTACTAAGATATATAATAAAAGTGTATGTGGTTATAAGATAAATGAGGTAGAAGACATATGCACCAAGGCTAGTATTAAAAACTCAGTTCTATTCCCATTGAGATGCACTACACATCAGAGTGGGCTTCAGAAAGACTTTGGACAGCCAGGCAAATGGTCTGAAAATGTTAATGTTGTCACAGCCATTATTTTGGAAACATGGAATGTTGATAGAGGCACTAACATTTTTCTGTTATGAGTACATACACATATCCTTATGCAAAATATGTGTGTGTGTACATGTAATGTAAACTCTGTGTTTTATCATGGCCCTGTAGAACCTGGTGACATCCTCCCAAGTCCACTTATTATCTCGCATATGTTGTTTTCACTCAATTATATCTTGGAGATTTTATAGATCTAACTGCTGAGTAACTTAAAAGGAACTTGTCTGCAATCTTTATTATGCAGTATGCCTTACATAGTCAATACAAATATTGCTTGTATATCTTCCATTTTGTACATTTCTATGAATTACATCTGGAGTGCTTATGCAATTGAAATCTAAATGAAGCTGGGTGTGGTGGTGCTTACCTGTAATCCCAGTACTAGGAGGCTGAGGCAGGAGAATTGCTGCAGGTTCTATAAATTCAAGGTCAGCCTGAGCTACATAATGAGTTCAAGGCCAACCTGAACTGCATAGTGAAACGCTGTCTCAAAAAGACAGAAAAAAAAAAGAAAAAAGAAAAAAGGCGCTGGGAATTGGGGGGAAACCTTGGCTGGTTTGGGAAACTGAAATTTCTGAAAACCATAAATTTGAAATCTCATGTTTTCAGACTTAATAGCCACAAATCTTTGCCTTGTGTTCAGTGTTCTAGCTAATAGAATCGAAGTACTGGAGGACAACTTTAAGAAGTCTCTCACAGTTCTTTCTCTTTTTAGTCCAAGAACAGATTACAATCCTAGTCCAGTGTAATGGGAAGGTCATGCTTACTTAGGCAGACTTTTTTTTTTGAAGTCACAACAAAATTACTTTTCCTATGATCATCTAACAAAGCTATTCAAAAATCAAAGAAATGGTTGAACTATTTCTGTTTCCTGCAGAGCTGTGGTTGGTGGCAGCATTACGTGGGCAGGTACTAAAGAAATCTTTCTGACTTAGGACCTCAAAACATCTGGCAGTAGTTTTTAAGCAAGGAAAACATTCATAAAGCAGCATAATTAATGGGATAAAAACAGTAAGGGCTTTATTCCACACTTACTCTTCAGAGCTTCTGGGTGGTGGTGCAACCCAGGCACAGACATTGCTAATGGGGCTGTTTGCTATTAACTCAGGGATCATTTCCTGGATCAGTGTGGTAGTCTGTTCCTAACTGTCTTCCATATTCTCAGCTGCTAGATGACTCAGTCTTGGGAAAGGCTTCCCAATGATTTGCTTACAAATAAATTTAGAGGCAACTGATCCAATTAATCTGTGTTGTCTAGACCAGACCCCTTGTGTTGTTCTTAGCGCAAGTAGGGTTAAAGCCTGGACTTGAAAGCTGTGGTTTTCAAACTTGTGGAAAACAGCAAGATTTTGGATGGATGGAGAAGACTTGTTTCTTTTCCTAGGTCCTGCCCTAATATTTTCTCTTTCAGATTTTTTAAACATTTGTTTTGACGGTGAAGAGGAGATTTAAAATATATATTATTTTAAAGAGAAGGACCTAGGAAAAGAAACAAGTCTTCTCCATCCATCCAAAATCTTGCTGTTTTCCACAAGTTTGAAAACCACAGCTTTCAAGTCCAGGCTTTAACCCTACTTGCGCTAAGAACAACACAAGGGGTCTGGAATGATAGTGACAAATATATGGAATGATAGTGACAAAGCAGATTGGGAGATTATGACCAAAGGAGCTCCAGATGGAAGGAAAGCATAAGAAATAAACTGCATTGTGTGACTCATACCAGGCCTTGGAGAAGGATGTTTGAGACTGTCTTTGTTACAGATTGTTCCCTAAAGTGCACCCGGATGGGGGGAGGGTCATTTCCCCAATCTGCTTTAGTTTCGGGTTACTCTAGTTAATTTATAAAATATGGAAAATGCAAACAAACCCACTAAAAGCAAGGAAATTTACTTGAATTTTTTATTTTGAATCAGGTATAATCGAATTCCTTATAGTTCAACTCATTGCAAACTGAAAAAATTGCACTCTGAGTCAGAAAGCATCTAAAGAAACTGGTTCTATGTAATCTTTCATCTAGTTTTCCTTCAGTTTATTTTAACACAAGTGGGGAAAGGTTTCATTTATTAAACTTCCAGAGAACCAAGATACAAATTTTTATGCAAAAACTCCTTCCATATTTTTCTTTTTATCTTCTTTTTAAAGATTGTTTCAGATAGATAAAATAAGAACACAATCAGGACAAACTTTTTGAGGGTCAACAATAATTTATGGATATAGGTATACAAAAAAAGAGGAGTTTATTCTT